AAAAGCTACTCGAACTAATGACTCTAAAGTTGTTGTAGGATTCCTTAAATCTAACATTTTTAGTAGGTCCGGAGTACCAAGAGCAATCATCAGTGACCAAGGCACCCATTTCTACAATCGCACAATCGAAGCATTGATGCACAAATACGGTGTACATCATCGTGTATCTACTGCATATCATCCTCAAACCAATGGACATCATCGTGAAATTAAGCAAATTTTGGAAAAGACTGTGAACCCTAACCGCAAGGATTGGAGTCTTCGTTTAGAAGATGCATTGTGGGCATACCACACAGCTTTCAAAACGCCAATTGGGATGTCACCATACAGGTTAATTTTTGGTAAAATGTGTCATTTACCTGTTAAACTTGAACATCGTGCTTTTTGGGCAGTTAAACAGTTCAACATGAGTGTCGATGAGGCGGGATTGGAAAGGAAGTTGCAACTTCAAGAATTGAAAGAGATTCGATTGGAGGCCTATGATAATGCTCAATTGTATAAGGAGAGGACAAAGCTTATTCATGATAAATTCTTGCACAAGAAAGAATTCTTCGTTGGCCAGAAGGTACTTCTTTTCGATTCCAAACTCAAGTTTATGCCAGGAAAGTTGTGGTCAAGGTGGCATGGACCCTTTATAGTTATGAAGGTGTTTCCTCATGGTATGATTGAGATAAAAGTGTTGGAGTCTGGTAAGATTTTTCGAGTTAATGGTTATAGACTAAAACTTTTTCTTGAGAATTTTGAAAGTGCTTGTGTGGAAGAAATCACTTTGCTTCCACCCATATATGAGTAAGTGAGGTACATGTTGTGTTTAGCCAAAGACACTAAAGAAAGGCGCTTGTTGGGAGGCAACCCAATGGTTTGATTTCTGTTATTTGTTTGCTTGAATAAATCGACTAGGTGGTTAAGTTTTTTGTTCCTGATGATCTTGATTTTCGTGGTTTTTCTTAATCATTTAATCGACGTAGAGTTAGTTTTTTTTAATGGTTTGTTTGAGTGTGACAGCTAGCTTTCGAGGAAAATTCTTCTACGTGGTCAATCCTTTTGATCCAATGCAAAAAGATGTTACTCCCGCTTCACATCAAGTTTGATTCCTCCACTACGAATTCCCAAGGAAGTACCGTTTTTTTTTTCTCTTTAATATTATTTGGGAGTTTGTATGTGCTTTTATTCTTTGTCTCTACATGTTTTATACATTGAGGACAATGTATGCTTTAGGTGTGGGGGAGGAGTTTGTGTGTTTCAAATTTGTCTTCATTAAATTGCTTACTTGAAAGAATTAGACTTGTTTTTTATGAAAATTTTTCAAAAATTTCGAGTTTTAACCACTATTTTCAAACATTTCAACTATTATGTTGCTAATCATCATAGGTTGAAAAGTGAAGCATGAAAAACATAAATTTTTCTTTGCTATGTACTATTCGATATGTTGTGAATTGAAGTGTTGAAGTTGATGATTGGAATATTATCACAAAAAAAAGTTACTTTAAATTGAGTGATCTGAGCTTTTCTGAGCAAATAGAGTTAGTGTATTTTAATGCTCAACATTTTTATGTGGGAAGTATATCATATCTAGTATGGATTAATCTTGAATTTGTCGAGCTAGGACACAATTTTGCTCTTGTAGATGGCTTGCCACAAGAATAAAGGCACTAGGATTTAGCCAAGTTAGCTTAAAAAGCCTACCCATTTATGTTTACCCCTAGTGAACCATTCAAGCCTTGACCGTTTTTCTTTAGCTCCAGATACATTAAACCATTAGCATTTTTTTTTATCCTTTACCCTTTTGTCAAGCTCTGGATTAGGTTGCTTAAACTGGATTTGTGGTAAGAGTTGGACATTATAGTGGCATGTGTTCGTGTTTTAAGATATGCATTTGATGTAATATAGGGCGTGCGGAAAAAAACAAAAAGAGGAAAATGCAAAAAAAAGGGAAAAATACCCCGGAAAAAAAAGAAAAAAAAATCGCATGAATCCCTATTTCCTACTTGTTTAAGAGTATGGCAAGTTCTTAATTATATCTTTGAGATGCCATAGGTTGTAAATGTAATATGAGAAGTTTACTGCAAGTTCTTATGCAAAGCACACTTAAAGTTTGAGTATGTAAAGTTTGAGGTGTGAGGATGAGCAATGCCATTATATGGGATATCTCGTAAGATGGGGGAGTTTAAGTATACTTGGTCTATCTTGACAAAATAAGCCTATATCCATATTTATCCACCCGTTTCCTTACCTAAAGCCCCATTACAACCCTATGTAAAGACCTTTATTGGTAAGTTTATTTGCTTGGTGTATGATGATGTGATGACTTTTCAAATTCTTGTGTATTCTGCTAGATATTGATTTGTGTGAATTGTTTGATACGCTACACTTGAGAGAAAAGAAGAAAGAAAATGAGTGAACTTACTGGTGAGGTGATTTTGCTCCAATCATTGATGGAGTTTAGGGATGAAGCAACTATCTTGTTGACTATGCATAGTATTAGAGGAGCTTATGTTTGATTGCCTAATTGATTAAGTTTATGATTGATGTGTGACATGGTGGTTGAGATTGTGTTTTAAATGATTTCCAAATTTTGTGGTTCAAAGTAGTGGTTTGCAAGTTGAGTTAAAAGTTATTCTTTTTAAGTTCGCTTGAGGACAAGCAAAATCTAAGTGTGGGGGAGTTGATAATGTTAATATTAGCTTGATATTTGTGGTGGTTTATATGTTGTTTTGAATATTATCTATGCTAATATTATTTTTTGGTTCTTAATTTGATCATAGGAAGGATTTGGAATAAAAAGAAGAAAAGTGTTGAGTTTGAAAAGTTTTTGAATATTTTATTGAATCAAGTTTCAAGTTGCAGAAGAAGTGGTTGATTCCCGCGCGGGCACACAAAATCCATGTCAAAATCAATGAAGGAAGCAGCAAAGTCCAGAAACGACGTTGCATTCCCACGTGAGCACGCTGAAACAGGGATTAAAGTTTAAAATTTCTAAAGTTTTAGGGTCAATTTGTAATTTTGGCAAACTTCAGGGACCAATCTGCAAATTTCAGAAAATTGAATTGCCCTCTGCGGATTTTGAAGAGGCTGAACGAAGGCTGCCCTATTAATACCATATGTACGCTTTGTTTTCATTATTAAGAAAGGGAGGAGAAGAGGCACAACACAGGGATTTCTCTCCGTTTTCGTCAGTTTGAGCTCCGTAATGTCAAACATCAATTTTTGTGTTGTTGATTTCACCATGATTAGCAACTAAATCTCTTTTCTAGTTAAAGAATTTTATTGAAGTCTTGATATTATTCAATTGTGAGATCTAACCGTTTGCTTTTCACCAACGAATTTTGAGTATTTATTTATTCTCTTTGATGTGTATTGATGATTATTTGATATTATTTGAATAGCTGGTAGCATTCAATTCTCCTAGATAATCTAATTTATTGAACAACAAGGTTTGTTTGTTCCTTATAAGAGACAATGCAAATAATTACTTGGTAAGTAGTTTACTTGTGTTGTGAGAATAAATAATCAATTTTTAATGAAACAAGGTTTGTTTGTTAGAAATTGAATTGGGTCTTTGCTTGTCAAAAACTAAATTTTAGGAGGTTCCAGGTAGTGTTTTTTGGCTATAGAGTGATTAATGAAGGTTTCTTAGTCACTGGTAGTTAAATAAAAAGACTGAATTGTTAGGAGGTTCCAACAACGATAACTAATATATTCATCATTTGTTGAGTTAATCTTTACATCAATGATCAGTTGGATACATCAAGATGGAAATTATTCCTTTGACTAGAGTTGCTCTTATTATTGATTTTCCAAAAGTATCTTTTATTGCTTGCAAATTATTTTTGTTATTCATTAGTTACAAATTCAAAATCTCTCCTATTTAGTTACATTGCTTTTGATTAGAAATATTTTCACTTCCTTGCTCCCTGAGGAGACGATTCTACTCATTGCTATACTACTAAATTTGTTAGGAGTAGAATCTTTTATTTTTGTTAGTTTGACATCCACCAGGATTCTACCACCGAATATTTATTTGTTAGTTTAAGCGATTTTATCTCAATTGTATTGTAATTTGTTATCAGCCAACGAGCATGACCTGCGGGTAAAAAACAAAAGATTTTTAATATGATTAGAATTGTACATAAAAAAAATTTTGTTATTTACTTACAAGTACAAAATTCTATGTTATCGTGATCTGTGTTATGATATTATATTATACATATTATTACTCTAAAATATACTTTTTTACTTATAATTTTTTTATTTAACAATTTTAAGACACAAGCATCCCCATACATTGGCCCCGGGACAAGCATCTAGTTATTATTGAGAGCATATAATCTTGTTTATTATGTCGGATAAACTTTCACGAAGTAAACGGATTTAGTGGGCAAGAATTTGGGGCAAATGTTTCGTATTTATTGCTTGCAAGGCACCTTGGACAGGACGGTATGCTGCAGCCTAAGGGGGGCTACATTCCGGAATTAGAATATCATGTCCACTTAATTTGTCTTATTTTTGTCTCACTCTAAATAATTATACTATAATTTTAATAATAAACTTATTAAAGTGACTTCAAATGTTTCACAATTGATATGCAAATCATTATTATATCCAATCGCTAGATTCTCTTTTGAGAATACAAAACTCTCCCAACCAAAAAAAAAAAACCAGCTATAAAATAGAGTCCGTCTCCAACCCAAGTACACCAAGTTTAATTTCTTTGCTATTTTTTCTTTTTTTTTTTCCCTTTTGATCATCGATTCATCCTCATCACACTCTATTTCTTCCCACCAAACTTCTTCAGCCCTCATCCCGCTCTTATGGATTTGGCTTGATAGGGCTCCTCAATACATAAACGAGATCAAACTCAAATTTTCTTATTAAAAAAAATGGGGTATCACCATTTATATTTATCTATTATCTAAATAGTGTATGTTATCCAGAGTATTTATGTACTACATTTAACATTACATTTTCTTAGCTCCCCTAATTTTCATATAGTACATTACTTGTGTCAGATTTCTAGTTTACAAACATCACATTTTAGGCAACTCTTCTCTGTATTTTGCCTCAAGAATCATGAATCATTTTGTAAGCATCTGAAAGAATATCATATAATTTGGCAGCTGCAACAAATGAAGAAATAGATCCTCCTATTGGTAACGGACTTAGTAGCGCTCTAGCTTTCGCCTTTGCTGACTTGGTAGGAAGCTAGGATCCATATAACTTAGTACTGATGCAGATTTACTGGGGAAATCATCATCTCTTATCAATGTTTGTACCAATGCTACGCCTCTTATTTCCCTCTGACTTCAGCATACAAATTCATAGAATAGTGATTTTCTACGCTTCAACAAAAATTAGCTTTCTTGACAAGCTTGCAAAGGCTTATGTTGGCTGCTAGATGTATTCAATTGATTGCAATCCTGGCGAGGTTTCTATTTTGGAGGAATCAATCTCAAAAACCCGAATTGAAATTTGCTTTGCTTTTGCGGCCAGTAGCTCGAGTTCCCTTTCGACATCTTTCATACGCGGTCTATCCTCGCCTCTCATGTTAATGCATCTTTTCGCTATCATTGCAACTTCATTCAATTGCTCAATGTTTTCAGGGCGAAATATGCTACTGTCAAGGACTTGAGCCAAATTGTTTTCTTTCAAAGAAACAAGGAAACCATTTGATAGAAATTTCTCTGACTCTGGTTTATTAGAAGCTAATACTCTTTTCGCAGTTAGGAGCTCTATCAGCACAATCCCGAAGCTATAAACATCACTCTTCTCAGTTAACACACCTGTTTGCATGTATTCGGGGTCTAAATAACCAAGTGTGCCTTGCACCATTGTTGCGACTTGGTTATCATCCAATGATACCAACCTTGATGTCCCGAAATCAGAAACTTTTGCGGTATAATTATGATCAAGAAGAATGTTTGCAGACTTGATGTCCCTGTGGATGATTGGAGGCGAAGCGACAGAATGCAAATATGAGAGGACGCCAGCGATTTCTGATGCTATTCTCAGGCGAATGTTCCAAGTGAGGTTTGATGCTTTGATTTTGTTGTGCAAATGCTCAAAGAGTGTCCCATTGTCAATGTATTCATAGACAAGCAATGGCACTTCTGTCTCCAAACAACAACCTAGTAGCTTGACAACGTATCTACTGTTGATTTGGGAAAGCAATAGTACCTCATTGATGAATTGCTCAACTTGAAGTTCATCAACTCCTCTAGATTTCTTAATCGCAACTGGCATTTTGTCCATCAACTCCCCTTTGAAAACAGTCCCAAATCCTCCACGACCAATGATTTGGCTACCATCAAACCCATTGGTGGCCTTTTGTAATTCTTCATGTGTGAAAATCCTTGTACTATAAGTTCCTCCTCCTTGTCGAGGGCTAAGTTTTTGTCGTAAAATCAACCCACCATTTCTCCTAAAAAACTCCTCTCTTGACCTCCTATCTTTTCTTCTCGTCCACTCAAAGTAGAAACAGTATGAGCATACTAGTAAAAACACCGAGCCTACACTTAGGCCAATACCTGTAGTAAACTTGCGATGTATTACAAATGCAAGAAATAGTAATGACAAAATCTTTTAGACCGACAATTCTCAGTTTCTACAAAGTTCGTTCCGCAAAAACAGAGTACTAACCTAAAATGATTGGCCAATTATTCGGCTTTTGATCTTGAACGCATTGTCCATCACCATCCTTATGGTAGCCTTGAATGCAATTGCATTCATAACTTCCCAACTTGTTAGTACAAGCACTATTTTTGGGACAAATGGAAGGATTCCGGCATTCATCAATATCTGCAAACAGAGGAAAAGAATCTGATTTTTGATACTTCCAAGCTAATATATATAGGTTCAGTTTGACTATGCTGAAACAATTTGATGCATTCTAGACAAAGTGTTCTAACAAAATTACCTTGGCAACCATTAGGTAGATAAGGGTTGCCCTCATATCCCTCATTGCACCTACACCGATAACCCAAAGTCTCATCGTGTTCATAACACTCGCTATCTTTCGCACAGGCGTAAGTGCTGGAGTTCTTCTGAGCTTCTTCACAACTCTGCCGCGCGATCATCCAATCCACCACAACTGGAAGGGCTATATTGTAATCTAAGTTGGTAAGATTACTGGCAGTGAACTGAAAGGCATCGGTTGCAACCACAAAAGCGTAACTGCAAGGATTGAAACTCGAGACCAAACTATGATTTGAATAGCTACCCAAAGACACATTAATCTGGTTAGCTCCACTAGGTATCGATGTCTGACAACATCCGATTCCAGAACACATACCATCCCTTACGTCTTCCTGTTTTTCGCATATAGACATACATCCAGTAGTGTATCTCCGTAAGTCACTTGTACCTTTTTCATTGAAGAGACAAGAAAATGCATAAATTGATCACGGGAATACATATATGCATTAAAGAATCATGAACTATCTCACATATCACGCTCAGGCTAATCCTTATTCGAAGAAAGATGGTTCAAAAAATGACTTGATAAAGATAACAGAACTAAATCACTTCGATGTGTACCTTTAACAAAGGCATAAGTGTCACAACCAACAACAGTGAACTTATTGGCTGTGCTATTGAAAACAAAGGCGTCTGTCGTTAGAGCGATAAATGGACTATTGAAATGGCGCACACTTCCATTAATGACTTGTTCATAGCAATCATATCCTACATAAGGGTTCAACATCCGATATTGTCCTTCCAGCCATATCTCTGTAACTACCAAAGGAGTATTCGACAAACTCAGAATTCGCGAGGCGTTGCATTCCACCGAGAAAGGCTGATCAAGGTAACAGTCTTTTCCAATACCAAATGGAAATGGAATGCTTACATTTCCACAATGATCCTGGCAGCCGGGCTTTGCTATGGGAAAATTATAAGCTGAAGAAGAACAAGAACTAGAAATGATCATCAGTACCATGAACCAAAAACCCACCAGCAACTCCAGTGGTAACATGGAAATCATGATTTCCATGGAGCAAAAGTATTGTGTGTGCGTGTTTTTTTTTACTTGATGACAGCTTTTTATTGTAAAGGTAGTCCTTAAGTTTATACTCCTACAAGTCAATCATCTCCAATAAACCTGAAGAAAAGTCTTTCCATGCGACCACGTATAATATTCTAACGAGGAAGACCAATTGATAGGTTTTTGTATTATATAACTAGTTAGCTAAGCTAATAGGACGAAGTCTTAACAATGATCGTGTAAGACTAGAAAAAGTCTTCAACAAGATTATCAAACTTAGTTATATACTCTCTCTCCCCCCAATGTCTAGAATTCAAAGAGAGAGATTAGTGACAAAACTAGACACTTTGCAAATTAATTTTTTAAAAAAAAAAAAAAACCACAACAACAACACAGAAGTTAGGGGCTTCTAATTCCTTTTTTTTTCATATATGCAAGGTGTGCGCCTTCCTTAATAGTGATTAATCCCTAATCATTAAAAGATTTCATCAGTTCTGCTGATTGAGTTTCCAAATACAAACATTACTTCATCCATGATTATTAATGAACTTTGTTGTTTGTAAAAATAATAACCATTATTATTATAATAATAACAATAATGAATGTGATTGGAAAAGGACATATTAGCTAGTCAACCTTATTATAATTTGGAAAAATAAAGATCGTTACTATTTAATATAATAAAATATGGTCATTCATTCATCATTACACACTTGTTTGGAGCTGCTTTTCTTTTTTAGTCAAAGTTTTGTCTGCTTTTTGTTGATCAGTTTAGGTAGCTAGATTTAGTCATCCTTTTACTAAATAACAGTTAGAAATTAACTAAATTAGTTTGTTATAGAAATTAAATACGTCATTACTTGGATAGAGAATAAGGACTCATGTTTTATACCAGTATGTAGATTTTTCAAACTGGTCAAAAAAATACATTTTCAATCTTTTGATTACTTCTAAATGCTGAGACTGTCATTCCAGAAGAAGAAGAATCAATCTTTTTCTCTTCTTTTTTTGTTTTTTCTATTGAAAGAGGTTTCAATTTTATATTCAGCCAATAATGAGGGGTTGTAGGACTATGTATGATCAAGTGATGGTGAATGCCCCAAGCAAAGATAATGGCGATTTCTCACTATTTTAGTATGTTTTTTTTTTTTTTTTGAAGAGGTATTTTAGTATTTTTAATGATAGACATGTTACAATATGAACAATGGATTTTATCCATCTTAGTTTTGTTTGCATGTGATGAGTGGATTATCTCTAGTATTTATATACTATTTTTCAAGCTTCATCGTTTGACAAATGGTGTAATTCGATACGTGGTTTGTCCAATAACTCAATCCGCTAATTGTGATTTTGATCCGGCGATTACACTGACCGTTTTCTTTTCGATCCGGGGATCGATGACTGTTCGTTTTGATCCGTAGTTTAACCCTTTTATTCTCAGACTTTTTGGACTCCCTAGTGAAAAAGAGGTTTTAGTGCATTTCTAATGCAACTCTTTCAATTCAAATCAACTTCGAAGTAAGCTCAAGAAGCTGAGTCAAGAACTGCTTCAACTGGCAAACGAGAGTAAAAGACCATGATTGAAAGAAATTTGAGTATCTTTTTTTCCCCTTTAAATAGCAATAGTTGTGATCCGATGATACAATAGTACAAGTAATCACAATCAAGAAATCACTTTGTAAACAATTAAAAGAATATTACATCTCTGACAGCTGCAGTAAAGGAACAAAGCACTCCTGCTACTGGACTCATATACCTTAAAGCAAGCCACAAGCAATAAATCTTAGAATGAATCTAAATGATACATGTAAAACACAAATGAATTCTCACCCTTTTTTTTTCCTTGTGTATTGGTCTCTTGAGAAATTGTGTCCTATTCTAGAAGGCAGATTTCTGCTGCAGTTTTACAGGCAGTACTATTCATTTATCCCTCCATTTGTTTCGTGGGTGGTGACAGTGATGCTGTTGGCTCTTGGGGCACCCGAATTCTGCCTTGGCCTGGCTGGTGAAGGTGGATAAGAGAGACGCTTCTTTGCAGCAGCAATTGGTGCCTTTTCTGCAGCCCCATTATCCACTCCTAAAGGACTCTGCAACTTTGTCTTTGCCTTTGCGGACTTAGTAGGAGCCATGTAACTTGGGACGGATGCAGAACTAGACAGGCTTTCATCATCTCTTATGGATGTTGTAGCAATGCTGTGCCTCCTATTTCTCTCAGACTGTACACTGAATACACTGCGGGCATCATCATCTTGGTTAGGAGCACCAACCCTTGGGCTTGCAGATCTCAATTTTTTGGGAGCAATTGGCTTAGATGTTGGAGTACTTGGAGACTCATGATTGGAAGAATTTTTTATGTTTTGGCCGGTTGGTGAGAAAGCGGTATCAGAGTTGAGCTGATGGCGGGCAAAGGCTTTCGTGATTTCTCCGATATTGCTCAAACTTGCACTTTTGACGGATGACTGGTCACCGTTAAGTTCTTTCTCGCCAATCCCTTGCTCCCAAGGTCGGGCAGCCATCCATCGTTCTAACCAGCTCCAACCCCAGTGTGGATTAGTGGGATCCATAAAGAGTAGGTTGGAGGATCTCGATGACTTCTTCCAAGTTTGCTGTCAAACACACAATATGATGTCAGATTACAGAGTATCTCTGGCACCTGACAGCTTCTCTTCTTATTAACACGCAAATAATAAAGATTCAGATACATTGAGAGATCTTTTTTATCAAAATTTTTACACCTGAGAATTTAATACAACCATCAGAAAGGACACAATAAGGAACATGAGCACTGCAGTAAATTGAATCGTAGTAACTGCAGACAAACGGTTCCCATAGTGACTAATGAATCAAATTAAAAGAACTTGATTACAAAACTAACCTGTTTGTAAGTTAATCATACTGGTTTATGTGTGAATAATTTCAAACTTCATATGAAGCCAAGACGGCTACTATAATACCAATAAAATACCTGATGAGAGTATGAATAAGCCAGTGCTCTTTCTCTTCTCATAGTTGCTTCATACTTGTGAAGTAAGTTCGCTTCAATCTGCTCTTTCGATTGTAGACTAGTATCCCATACTTCTCCCATCTGTATTGGAGGTAAACCAATTAGGAATACTTTTTTTTCTTTTCTGAAATAGGATTAGGAATTGTACCGTAAGCAACCAAATTAGTGACTGAAACTACTTCATTAACAAAAGCTGAGCACAACATCAAAGTTTGTAAGAACAAAGACAAATACAGAAAAGCGTTATACACACTTCATTTCAAACTGACCAAAAATTAACAACATTAGATAAAAAGAATAGCATAACGAAAAACAGGTAATTGAGATGCACATTGATCTAAACTCAAAAACATACAGCACAAACAAATGGTGATCCAACAATACATTTTAAGAAAGTGCAACTCCAAAAAACTGTCGATCATAAATTCAGGTTAACATAATCACATTCAATGGTGCATGTGAACAGCAACGGTTGATGCCTGATAAATTTCCCCAACCAAAGAAGAACTAAATAGGATTCAAGGATAAAACCAACCCTTAAGCTCTCAAGTTCTTTCGCGCGTTTCTGTAGGAGCTGTCTTTGGAGAGCCCGGTTCTCCTCTAACATCCTGATCCTTCTGGAATTAATTTGTGAATGAACACGAGAAAGAGCCTGCATGCATTTCATTGCATTTGCCGTCTGGCGCTTTGCAGTGGGCCCATCTACAAGTGTTTTTAACCTGACAAGACCCCTTAGTGCCCGTAATGCTCTCCTTGCCTGTGAAAAAATTAAGAAAACAAATTACGAGTACATTCCATAAACAATATATCTATTTCTGATAGTATAAATATACCAACAACGTGACATCAATCATAACAGACGCATTAATTAGGATATCAAGCAATGTTTGAAAATGACCGGAGAGCTAATACATTGAGGAGTCAAACCTGATAACCTCGGAATGCAGTTTGGATCTTAATTGCTGCAACTTCCTCTAATGATTTTCCTGTATAAGGAGCTGTAGAAGTCAACCTGACAACTTCTGCAGCGGCCTGAGCAGCCACAACGGCAGCTTCTGCAGCAGCAGCCGTGGCAACTGCAACTGAGTAGGCATGTTTTGTTTGCTCATCCTCCACTTCCGTCAAGTCTGGCTCCTCCACTGGGACAGGATCAGGTTGAGGAATTGGGACATTCTCTACAGTTGTGGTGACGGGAATTGAGGCCTCTTCCTTCCCTTTCCCCTTTTTGCTTGATTTACTTGATTTCTGAGAAAGATGAAGTAAAACAAGTCTGAAACGGAAAATGGTAAGGAAACAAAATCATGGCCACCAAAAAAAAGCATCCAGTACCTTTGAACTTGGGCTCAAAGCCTTCTTTACAGAGGAAAACCAGCCTCCTTTCTTCCCCATTTTCTTAGCATTCCTCGGTAGTTCCTATTAGTTCAGGAAACAAAGAATTACTGAGCAGTTCAAAGATTAACACTGCAATGAACTGCCTTAGTGACAGAAACAGAGTTCTCACAAGCATAACAGTTATTCAGCACAGTAAAATTCAAATATGATCACACAATACATCCATAACAACACAATTTCTGAAGTTGCGAGTGTCTGGAATGTCATTGGATTCATAAATTTCAAACGAAAGTTCGCATTTTGGATTGATTCCGGCCAACACAAATCAAGATCATCCATTTCAAACAGTTCAGAGAAGATCACCACATTCCATCCAGATCCCAGATCACAAACACAAACCCTTCAACATTCAAGCTCCATATTCAACTCTTTCTATCAACATTGATAACAGACCATACCAAATCTCCCAAACACAAATCCAAACCGAACCCATTTCAAACAGTCAACTTAAGTCAAACACAGAACTCCCCAAATCCACATTGCCCAAAAGAACACACAAACAACTAATTTACAATAACACATGACAAAAAACAAAACCCACCAAGAAGAGATCTCGAAATCAGTTCAGCTAAGAAGCAGAAAGCTAGCAAGCAAGCAAACAAAAACCAAATGAATTAATCAGCAGATTTGTTACCTCCCAAGCTTGAGATCTTTCTTTTTCCGGAACTCCTCTGAATGTTTTGTTCTTACTGTTACATCAACTCCACCTTCCTTATATTTTCAGTCTCTTCTTTTTTTGTCGGCTCGGGTCTCAGAATAGCGGTAGACTTTGTTGTTGTTCTTGTTCTTAGAGTGTGAAGGAGAAAGAAAAAGGATAAAAATCAGGACTTTGTTTTTTCCTTTTTTTATTATTTTCTATTTGGGTTTTCCTTTTTTTCTGTTAGTATTAAGGGGAAAGAATTACAGCTGGTTTTTATTGGGCCCTACAAAAGGAGCTGTTGTGAGTATGTAGTGGGGTCCAACTATTGGCATTTTGGTAATTTTAGATTATATGGAGGGATGTGCTGGAAATAATAATAGTACTACCAATAATTAAATTAATAATTATTAGTTGATTAGATGCCAGCCAAAGATTTTAAGAGATTCCTTTTTTAAAATTAGTATTTAGTAATCTATTGCTAACTGTGATCATTTATGATCAAACTGTCTGCTATCATAATGTACCAAAATATTGTGCACCCTAATTTTTTATCAAAAGGTATCACTGTTTTAGTATGTAGCAAGTGAAATTAAAATTTACTCTCATAATATTTAGATTTTTAGTTTAATAGCTTGCTAATATAGAATGATATGATTTAATTTGGACAAACAATATCTAGATGGGTATACTTGTAATATATCTTCATCGCATTTTTTGTAATGGAAGAGTAATAATGAAACATCAACACACTTTGTTTTCAGAAGAATTTGTAAGAAATAGAAAAAGATTGATAATAGATAAATAGAAATGACTAAAAAGGTATGATTATAAATCTATAGAAATGTTAAATTTTAAATGATAAATTATGAACTCGATGGTAGCGACATGAATGTGTCACTAATGGAAAGAGAGAGATATCTATTTTTCAATTAGGAAAAAGAAAAATTGTAGAGGTGATTTTCAAGCGGATATTAAGAAGTCATAATAAGAATGGTCTTAGAGACAAAACGAACATAAATATGTTTTTGTTCATGTCTTTTTTATTTTGGCCAGCGATAATAAATCAACTTTTAGTTTACAGAGCAAAAATTATCCTTAATTAATCAGTAATCTCCAATTTTCCTCTATCCATGTATGCATCATAGCTTCCTTCGTGACAATTTATCCATAGCTTCAATAGAACTCTCTATATCTCCTATCACTGAAAGTAGAAATGAAGATTATCTTTTTAATTCACAATCAAAATAGTCACTTCTCAATTACTCTGCCTTTTTTATTGAGTTTCTCCTTGCAAAACCATTCTAATTCCTTTTAGGGGGGTTAAATTTCGAGAACTTTTGTAATAAAAATTTGGGAGATCAAGTTTTTTGTTTTTTGTTTTCTATGGTTTATTAAGTATATGTACAAAAGAGGTAATATGACCGAAGTCGAAATTTACATGGTACTTGGAACGGGACTGACGATGACTTAGGCGACAGCGAACAGTCTAAAACTTACAAGACAGTCTTCGGGTCTCCCATAGATAGATTTTCACAATGTTTAATAAGAGGAATAATAGAGAGAGATGTGTATCATGTGTTGATTGTGTAGGAGATGTGATTTATGGGAGAGACATCACCTTTTCATATAGAGGTGGTGTTACATGTTTTCATAAACCTAATAGGAATAGGTTTAGACTGTGGTTTAATCCAAATAACCAAACCCCAAACCCAGTAGGCCTAGAGATTGGGCCTCTTCAAGTACCCCTAGCAAATCATACTTGATGAGAAAATATCAGTTGCTATGACTATAAGGCTAGGGTGTAGATGACTTCTCGATTTTCGTCATGAGCCCAACTCGCGAACTATTTCATTCTCGGATGTCACTTATATAAGATAAAATAGATAAATATATTTGAGGATCATGCTCTCGAGTTAATTTATGTATTTAAGAAGTGCCTTCTCGGATTTTTATATCTTCGAGCAATTTGCTCTCCAACATGTTGTTTCATCAGTATCTGTATAATATCAAATGATAGTACCCAAAAAAAATTTATTCCAGACAACCCTAATTAAAAGTACAATATTAAAAGTCTTTTTTTAGATAAATAACATTCAGAGAACCATTATAATTTATCATTTATTAGAAGGTCAAAGTGTAATTCTTTTTAAATTCATCATAAGTACACTACATAAAGATCATCGTTTATCAAATCTTGCCAAAAGAAAATTTTTAAGTATGATACGTAACTCACCTAATTTATCTCACTATTGTATTTCACATTTTACATGACATTTAATTATTAAATCAAATTTACTAAGTTAAATTAATTTATTTTTTTATACATTTATAATTTTGAGTATTTTTATATCCAAAAATTTAAAATAGACGGATCCTAACCTCAAAATGAAAAAAAAACCTCCTTTTAGGAAAAGTTATAATAATACAAATGATTCATGAACGGAACCAATATTTATAAGAGAAAACCAATTTATATTGAGTTATTTTCACGTAGGATAGGAAGTGGTTTACAAGTTATAAAAAAGAGCAATGAATAGATTCTAATCCTAAAAAAAAGGTAAACCCTTAAGAAAAAAATTGTAATAAGGCAAATGATTTATCAATTGGACCAATATTGTTAAAAATATAATATTTGAATTGAGTTATTTAGAAGTAATGCAGGAAGTGGTTTACCAAGTGAAGAAAATTTGTGATTCAATAAATGATTGACATGCTAGGTGAGATGCAAGAATGAAATGAATTTGGTGAGATGAATATCATTTTCTAATAAAAATAGATTATCCAAAAACTAATTGACATGTAAAATGAGATATAAGGGCGAGCCAACAAAGGGGTGACCCAATGGTTTGGGCTTTGGCATCCAACCTGGGAGACTCGTGTTCGAATCCCGTTAACAACACTTTCAGTGTTGAATTTGTGCAGGTTTGCTTGCACCTGCCAGGAGACTTCCCTTTCCAAGTACCAGATCGTAGAGTCTCCCCCTTAGTATAGGACTGTCAATTCGGGCGGGTTTGGTCGGTTTGGGTTAAGTCGGTTTTAGTTAATTGGTTTTTTTCTCTCAACACACCAACGAACCACAATATATATAGCACCGAACCGACCGAAAAAAATTTCGGGTACATTGGTTCGGTTTCGGTTCACCCACATAATTTTTTTTTTATTTTTGTTTTTTTGAGAAAGTCATCGGATACTTTCTCCTCCAAAGAACTAAACAACAACTTATTTTCAAAGAAACAACAACACAAATGCAACAAATTCTTATTATTCCTACAAGATCCTTTCAAAAAGAACAAAAAATATGAAAAATATCAAACAAATACGTTCAAGAATAGATCAGATCTGGGCGATTGTTGCTGTAATCCAAAAATATATATATATCTTTCATCATCCTGCTTGAAATCATGGCCGGTTGCTATAGTAGTATGAGGACTTGAAGTCGATGCCGAAATCTGAAGGAGAAGATAAGATGGAGGAGATCTGAGAAGAAGGAGAAGATAAGATGAAGAAGATCTGAGAAGGAGAAGAGGAAGGAAATTGCCGCTTGAATCGTGGTTGAAGAGGAAGTTGCGCTGCCGATTAACCGTGGATGTTGTTGGTGGATGTTGTTAGTTGTGGGTTGGGAGTCGAAGCCAAGAGAGGTGGAGAAAAATGACGGATAAGCCGTCTTTTGTGGAGGAGGAGGAGGGCGTCGGCTACAGAGGGGAAAAAAAAAGACTAAGGTTTGAAGTAGTCAAAATCCTATATGTATAAAATAATTTTTTTTTTTGTAATTATTATTATTATTTCGGATTTTCGGGCAGGGCTCGAAGTAATATCTCTCTCGCTCGTACCCGTACCAAATATTCTTACGGTTAATCGGGTAGACTCGTATAACACCGAATTTGTCCGATTAGCCGAACCGTTTAACTCGAAACTCGTTCGATTCGGACGGGTCCTCGGGTCTGCCCGATTAACTGATAACCCTACTTAGTAGTATTATCTCCTTCTCCATAAATCACACCTATATGTAATATACTAGATACTTGTAATTGTGTGTAAACAAAAGATATAAGGGTAATATACTAGATACTTGTAATTGTGTGTAAACAAAAGATATGAGGATGAGATATTATTATTAGTAAAAAATTTTCTACTTGTTTTAGTTTGCCAACTCATGACAACACTTCTTGACACGGCAAAATGCTTACGAAAAATGATTCGTTCAACTTATCCGCAGCTAAGGCCTAAGGATACATTGGTACAAACATTCAATTACTACTAATAGTATTTTTTTTTTTCTAAAAACAAGATTACGTGGGCTGATTAATAAAGCATTGGTTAAGGTGAGTCCTCCTCCCATGTTTTTGTATGCTTATCA